TGGGTTTCGAACTCTTGACCTGCCACTTGGTGGGGGTGACAACCTAACCACTACACTAGATCGCCACACCCCTTACTTATAACTAAAATACCAATTGTTGTAATTAACCCTTTTATTCTTGATTCTAATCTCAATCTAACTAATAACCAAAATAATTCAAGACTTCACCCCAGTTATATTAGAACATTATGATATAATATGGAAAGAATAGATCAAACCTGTAGACATTGTAAAGCTAAATTTTAGATACTAGAAAAGGAGCAAAATAATGGTTTTGTTTTTCTGAAATTTCCTATTTGCTATACTAGCAGAAAAGTAAAATTGCCTCCTTTATTTTAACCACCCCTATGCTTGCTAGAATTATACACTTTAAATACATATTTTGGCAATGAATTTCAAAAAAACATAAGATTCTATAACACAATTTTAGCCTACATGTCTTTTGGTGCTAATGTAGATCAGCAATTTGTAAGACAAAGTGTATTAAATTTTTATATTCATGGTCAAGTCTATCATTGCATTGGATCTTTGTTATCAGAAGAAGGTCATACTCCAACTTTTGCTCAACTATACATCTATGATACCATGCATGAAGTTGAAAATCGTTGTAACATCATGAATCACTTTAATGAATTGAGTAAGAATATTTTACAAACCTTACAAAGTATATTTAATAAATGCAACCCTTATATTCAAAACTTTCATCACGTAAGAGATAATATTCAAGAAAATTTAATTACTACAATTTCAATGATAATTCATGGTGATAGATCTGATGATATCCGTCGCTATAACACCCCAACATTCTCTGAAGTAGCTGCAATTATAGTCAGTGATGATCATGAGATTAATCCAACAAGCTAAGATATTCTTCTTAGATTGTACAATGGAAATTTGCAAAGAATATCTGAGTTTTATTTATCATATGATCCACTTCACTATATATTATTATTTCTTGGAGATGATGATGGTTGGCATGTAAATATACCACTCATAAATGCTGTAAAAAGTGAGATAGTAACAACCATGCAATTTTACTCCTATAGATTGCAAATTAAAGATGCTAATTGGTTATAATGCACTGGTCATTTATATTAACAGTATAGTATATTGTTGACCAATATGCTAAGATTAAACAAAATCAGTTAATTTACCTTAAAACAAACCAGAAATCTCTTCAAACTGAGTTGTATCAAGGTGTTATAGATATATTATATGCTGATGATAGTATTACCAATGTTGGTCATCATATAATTCTTCTATTTTTTTTTATCGGTGGACTATGTCAAATGTATCAACTATATTAAGATGCAATGACAATTATAACTCACTTTGAAAAACCTGATCTTTTCGCAACTTTCACCTATAACCCTAAATAGCTAGAAGTAACAAGAGAATTGTTATCTTATCAAGCTGCTTCTGACAGGCCTAATTTAACAGCTCGTGTATTTTATGTAAAATTGCAAGCACTATTAAAAGACCTATGCAATAACCATTGGCTTGAAAAAGTTATTGCATATGTATATATAGTAGAATTCCAGAAGTGTGGTCTTTCCTATATATATATTTTACTAATTCTTGCTCCTAAGAACAAATTATAATTACCTGATGATTATGATGCTATAGTTTTGGCAAAAATTCCAGACATTGTATTAAATCTATTTGCTTATAAGACTATCTCAGCTATGATGATGCATGAGCTATATAGTTCTTTAAACCCAAATGCTCTATATATAAAAGATAGTGTTTGTAAAAAAGATTATCCCAAGAGTTTCCAAGAACAAACTATAGAGAGTAATAGTGGATACTCTATTTACCACAGGCAAAACACTAATCAATTTGTAGAAATTAGAAATGACATAAGATTAGATAATAGATAGGTCGTACCTCATAATATCAAGTTGGTTATAAAATATAATACGCATATTAATATTAAAATCTGCAGTTCAATATTAGCTATTAAATATTTATATAAATATGTTTACAAAGACCATGATCATACAACTTTTACCTTTTCTCATTCCAGTCAAACAAATAACCAGCAACTATCAACTGAACCTGTTCAAATTGATGAAATCAAAATATACCTTAATGCAAGGTATGTTTCAGCTTCTGAAGTTATCTAAAGTATTTTTCATTACAAACTGCATAACTATGCTCCAAAAGTACAATGACTTGCAGTCTATCTTCTTGAACATTAGCACGTTTCTTTTCAAGATAGAGAAGTTTTCCAAGATGGGTGGTACGCATTTCACCAACAATCACTTTACCGACAGCTTAGTTCACTGACAATTAATTAACCGACAAGTTCATTTCACCGACAATTATTTCACCGACAACATTTTGCTGACAAAATAATTCTGGTCATTGTTGTTAGTGTCAGGTTAGAATTAGAGCTAAGGTTAGTGTAATTTATAAAAAATACTTGTCAGTGAAATGAGCTATCAGTGAAATAATTGTCAGTGAAATGAACTTGTCTGTGAATTGATTGTTGGTGAACTAAGTTGTCTGTGAAGTGATTGTCAGTGAAATAACACATATCCTTCCAAGATATCAATAATCGTGCTAATAATTAGATGACAACTTTAACAGCTTGGTTTCAAGAAAATAAAAATAATCATGCAGCATGTAAATATATATATATTGACTTTTCCACTTACTATACTTGGACAACTAAGTGTAAGTGGGTACTTAGACAAATATCTATATCTATGCTTGCAAGACTTTACATGGTACAACCTTCAGAAGGTGAACATTATTATCTCAGATATTTACTTACTCACGCAAAAGGCGCAACTACTTTTTATGACCTCAAAACTATAAATGGCTATTTCTGTAGGATAGGGTTCGAAACATAGGGGCATGGGCATGCCTTGGGGCATGCCTATAGGCATGCACTTGGCCGTTAGATATATCTTCCTCAGTATCGCCTAAAAAAAGTTGTAGTCATGTGACTATGATCAGCCAATAAAATCAATGAAGATTATCATTACGTGGCTTAAAGTTTGTTATCGAATTAACAGTATTATCAGTAAATATTTTATTATTTTTTAAGACTAGCACTAATAATAATATACCAAGTTTTTGGCTTTTAAACTGAAGGAAATAATCCTGAACTGCTCGATCAAGCTCGAAGAGTAGTTCAACCGAATAAAGTTGTAAAAACAAATTCTCAATCTGGCAAAATTTTTTAAAAATACCTCATAGGCTTCCTTATAGACAGATAAGTATTGTTTTGCAATATATCTTGAGCTATTTGCATTGATTTAATAAGGATAATGATTGTATTAATCGATGTTCAAGTTTAATCACCCAGATTCAAAGATATTTATTATTCATTATCTAAAAACCTTGATATTGGTGTTAATTTAGTAGGGTAAGAAAATATGTTAATTAAAAGCAAATTTAAGTTCTGAATATGTTAATGCTACTTTTTATATATTGTATTTTATTTAATTTTTTAGGAATATTATTAATTTCATTTCGATCACATTAATCTAGTGATGAATTATTTAAATTCTTTATTACACAATAGGTAAGTGTAAAAGTTATTAATTTAAATTATAAAATACTATTTTATACTAAATTTATTTTATTTGATAAATTAATAGATAGATACGAACATATATATTATTATATAAGCTGATTTTTTGTTAAAAATAAAAAAATAAAATGAATTCTTGCATGAATATTTCAAATTTATTATTATTATTATTATTTTACACTATGTTTTTGTGATTTAACCATTATCTAATAATTACGCATTGATCAATTTAGATATCGCGTATTACTTGTATGCCCTTTCAAAGTTAATAGCATATTTCTTTTTCTATTGTATTTTTTAATATCTTCTACCATTTTGCGAATTAGGTTGAAGTTTTTCTCTACATTTTTTGCCTATCGAATGTTATTAGATTCTTTTTGATTTTCAAGAATAGTAAGAGTTTTGTTGTTAGAGTTATTAATTCTTCCAAAACTTTATCATTTTCATCTTCTGATTCATCTAAATCATTAACATTTTCGATTTCATCAGTATACAGAGCTGTTTTGATTTGTTCTTCAATAGGATCTTGTTTGCACATACTTAAAAAAGATGGTTAGTAATTTCTTCTAACGCGATCAAAGAATTTATAGTTAACTGGCCCTTTTTGTTGAACCAGATGTTTGCAGATACAAAACCTACTCGTTAAATAATATGGATATCCGCATATCTATTGATCTAATCTGTTACATATATTCTATTAATTTCATGTATTGATAATATTCTCCATTTCGTCTTAAAAATTTTTATCCATTCAGATTTTTCTCTTCCAATTAAAATTTGATAAATTTTTCGCTATTGATGGATTACAACTTTTGTCATCAAAATATATACCACAAGATCTAGGCGAGGTCAAAAAAATTTGTAAAGAAAATCTTTTTTTATAACTTTCCAATATCCTTCCAAAAACATTGTAGTTCTAAAAATTGATATTTTATCTTTACAGGAAGACTGAGCCCATAATAGCCACCTTTTATCACTATACTATTCACCCCACAAGTAACACCAAAGTGATATTAAAGAATTAGTTTTACAAAAGTTATACATTTCCTGAATAGCATTATCATGAATTGTTTTCTTGCCAAGAAATTGACCATTACATGTAGGAATCAATGAATATTGATGAAGATGTGTCTCCATTAATCTCCAAATGGCTTCACGATTTTCTTTAGAACAAAACTTAAGAGATTCTGTAATACCTTCAAATGGAAACTGAATACCAAATTGAGAGAATGAGGTATAAGCAGCAGTTCTTGACAGTTTGTTACTTGCTAATCAGGTTATTACAGCTCTTTTTATATGCTATTTGCACAGTTGGATTTTGATCCTAGGCCAAGTAAAACATGCAGTATGGATTTGTAAGAAATCTTTATCAGTAAGAAAGAAACTTGGGTTTATTCCTTCTTTACGTAATTTGAAAAGAATTTTTGAATTATGCCAGTATGTATTCCATCTTCACAGTGACCATTATTTTCTAAAAAAAGATAGGCAAGAGGAAATCAAGCACCATTCATTTCTACCTGAAAACTATATAGCTCCATTTTAAAGCTATTTGTATTATCTAAATATAATATAACATATTAATATAAGTTAAATTTATTTATTTATTTTTTAAAAAAAATTATATTACACTTCTCGACCCTCTTTAAAAGAGTTAAAAAAAAAAAATTTATATTACAAAATTAAACATACATGTTGCGTCTATACCACACTTACAGATATTAATATTTTTTTGTTGCAGGTACTTATTATACATGCTGATGAAATTATTTCGGGGTCTAAAACCCGAAATTAAAATTTGAAGATGAAATTGTTTTTGACCTATTTTACTTAAAAGATAAAATTTTTTAACACTTTTTTTGAATAGACGAAATTATAAGGAGTATAAATATATAAATTTTATTTGCTCTTTCTTATAAAAAATTTTAATTTGCTCTAATGGAGACGAAATAGGCTTTTTTTGAAAATTAATTTCGGTGGCATTTATAGTACTCATAAATACCCATCATAAAAGCTAGAGCGCATACTGGATATGTTTTTCAAGAATTGTTTTATACTGGTCTTCTTTGAGCCATTCAGCTACTGACTTAAATGGATCTTCATGACGCTTATACCTGGTTTGTTCAAACTCTGACTACCAAAAGTGAATTTGTTTTTGTCTAATTAATAGATCCATACCTTCTTTAACAAGTTGTATATATATTTCTTGTAGTAAAAGATCAATATTATTTTGTATAAAATTTTTAATATCCTGAGATACTGATATTTTTTTTGGTCTTTCATGCAGAAAAGCATGATTTATAGTTATGTATGCTATATTAGTTTCCTGGTTAATAGTAATTTTTATAAAACCTTGACACTTAAATTATTTCATAGAAAGCCTATTGTGATGCTTTGAAGGATCTTCATTCTTTTTTAGTTTTTCTGCTAATGTATCTCTTTGTAAACAAATATATCAATACGAGGATGTTTGTATTTCTAAATATGATCTATTATAGATCCACCCAAATTCATCAGTATCTTCAATGATCTTAATTAGATCATTTGCAATTTCTTTTAGTGGTTTTTTGAATGTCAAAATATTTATATTGCACTGTAAAGAGAATGGTGGTGTGTTTTCTAATCCACTATTATGTAACTCTAAATATGTGTCTAAGTTTTGTAAGATATTACAGAAGTCATTCAGCTCAATTATTTCTGATACGTCTGGTATATCTGATACATCTGGATTCTCTTGGCCTTCATCTTCTTCAATCAAATGACCTTTTCTCTTGATACTTTGGTATCTTACAGATTGATCATGACAACTATGGCAAGTATTATATGTTTTTTTGTATTAGCTTTTAAAAACTCGCTAAGAGGTTTTTTACTTTTACATCTAGTACAAGAAGGTGTCTCCATTGCGATTAATTTGAAGAATTATGAATAAATTTAATGAAAAAATTTAGTTCGAGGAATGCAAGAGTTAAGGTGAAACCCGGAAGAGATAGATACACACAGTCCTCTAACGCACAACCTGAGCACTGCTATTTCTTGTGGAACCATGAGAGCCAGGTATACGGTGAGCGCCCTTGTAAAAGACAAATCTAAGATGTCACTTCCAATATCTTTAGACTCCTGTGACCCTTCAACCTGCTTTAACAAATTCCTCAAACATCACCAACTTCCAC